CTGACTAAGTGGGAGAAGTGAGTTTTGAGTTTGCTGCATCCAAGAAGACTGTGACAATTCTCAGGGCTATATTTGCTGTGGATGCAACAGTAAAAGTGTTTCCTGGCCACAAGCTGTGTTTAAAATGGTAGTAGCATTATCAGTTTAAATTCTTTGCAATTGAATACACAAGTGTTTAAGTACACAAGTAACGCTTGGCTGTAGGGCAAATCAGAGTCCAAATGCTTCTTCTGCCTTTCTCCCTATAAGTTTTATTCTGTGTATTGATATGATCGGTGCATTCTTATTGAGTTTAGCCAAAATTCATTGCTTTCCAATAGTAAACAGCTAAAGTCAGCTTTAAGGTGACCTTCACTCATAGAATCACCTAGGTTTGTTTCTCCTTTTGCCTTTCGTTTTGCTGTTTAGTTGTCATAGTAGAAAGGAGCAATTTCAGTAAACTGTTTTATAATCTTAGTGTTCACTTTGCTAGATAATCGTATATTTTCTATTAATAATTATGAAACTCATGTGATCTTCTATAACACGAGAAGCAACTTTGACTTAGTACCAACACATACATTTTTCCAGGTATTCTAGTACTAAGCTTCCTATTTGCACTTTGATTATGTTGCAGACTTCTGGCCCAGAATCTGATGATTTCATGCTATATTCTCTGATATTGCTACTTTCAGAAAGGAGGAAAAGGGAATACAGTACTATGGATGTGAAATACTTAACGTCTCATAGTCCTTTGCTAGCCTCAGAAAGTTAGTTAAGTAACACTATGAGATAAATATTTACAACTAATGGTTTTGTCAGTAAGCACAATTTAATTAGCAAAGAAGGGGCTTATTTATAACAGGAGTGGACTACTATTAAAATGATGTACTGCTTAGAGTCTCCTTAACTGAAGCATTTCAATTACTGTTGTTATCTATCATAATCTAAGTTTTGGAGAAGAAAGTGTCAAATATAAGGCATACAAACTCTGTAACTGACTCATATGGGCAGAATTCACATCAGCAGTCTGTTATCCTGCTGCTCTGTGCACTCCTATAGCTACAGCAATAAACTGCTTCTCTTCTCCACTGAACAAGCATGTATTTCTACAACAGTATCAACACTTTTTTCCGCAGCAAATCCAAATGAGGCTACAGAGCTAATGTTCCTTTCAGTATAAAAACAGCATTAGACTCTTGTTTTTACTTTCTTTGACATCAAGCTTTCAACATCTACTCAAAATATCATGATACCTGTTATTTTTTGGTGATGGTGAAATTTTGTCAAATTTATGTGAAATTGGCAGCACTTTTGTTAATTTTGAATGTTCTCTACGTGATGTTTTTGCTGTACCTCATTTGTTTTGTGGGTATCTTGTTATTGTAGTGAGATTACCGAGATCAGCAGAGCACTTTTCAACAAGTCAGCTTCTTTTTACCACAGTTTGTCCTTGGCAGTCTCTCTGTATACCACCTTCACAGAAGTACCCTATATGCTATACCAAGTAATTACAGGAATACATATTAGTTCTTGGAGTTCCATCAACTATGAATAATATACATGGGCTGATATTTTCCAGTGCTGTCCTAAATTATTTACTAAAATATTAGTTGCTATTCTGCACCTGAGTGTGGAAGAAGATGACAAAGAGAAATGTTGCAGGGCTCCTTCTGGATTTCAGAAGAGAGTGTGCAACAACAAATAGCTTAATAAAACAGGTAGAATAAAAAGGAAAACAGAGTGAATCTTATCTTCCTTTAAATGCAGAAAACCTCACTTTCAAGCTGCACTAGAGGGGAAAAAAAAATAGTGCTTGGAGAGGATACTCCTCCCTTACAGTTTGCAAAGTTATCTTTGTCACAACATCCACCCTCACACAGCAAAGGCCAGCAAGAGGTGCCCCAGCAGATGCCCTTACAGTGCCTTCTCATGTTTTCTGCAAGGCAGAATACAGCAGATACAGTTAGCCTTGTACATACAGCAGTGCTTTATCTGTTGGCAGCATCACTATAAATGCCATACTCCTTTCAATAGCACCAGAAATCATCACCAGGGTCTGGGACGTTTGCTCTGTCATTACTTAAAGTATGAGCAAGCTCTCATCTTTCAAGGACACAAGGACACAGCTTAAGGCCTCCTTGTCATATTGTACTACGGCCCAAGGAAGGTAGGAAGAGAATGATGTTAATGAATAATAAAAAGCAATTGGGAGAAAGCACTGCAGCCATTTCCTTTGCTGCCTCCTCCCTCAAGATGAGTCACTGGGACCACCATTTCCATCTTCTCTTTTTGATGTTGTTTTTCCCCTTGCAGCTTGAAAATTAAAGATGCCCCTTCAGCCTTCTGTAATGAGAACAGAGGTAAGAGGTAATGCGGGCCATTCCTTGACAAAGGGAAGCCTGTAGTGATGGCACACAACACCTGCTCTTTTTTCTTTATTCTGGTTTCTATGGCTACATCAAATACTTGGGGACTTTTCACTAACAACAGCTGTAAAAATGCATAATCAGAACAGAGCAGTTCTTTTCCAGCTGTGTGTGTGAAACAGTGCCTGGGTTTGATAGCTGCACAGATAAGCTATCAATCTACTTGGCACATGTTTGTGACTAAAATTCAGATAAAATATTTGAAGAAAAAATCTGCTAAATTAGAATACAGGTAATTAAATTCTCCTTACATAAAACCATCCCTCTAATCTGAACTAAGTACAGCGTCTATCAGAGGACAGATATGTCCAGTGTGAGGGGCAATTTATAGCTGGATCAGAGCAACCTACAGCTTCTGAAGAGGAGGACTAATGTATCAACTGTTTGACAGGATGAGACACAGCTCACCAGACTTCCATAGGACTACTGTCTACACAACGCTTACGCAAATATTTACCTGACTTTCTGTTTCTTGAGATCTGCTACTGAGACTGCATATGCTTTGCCAAAATCTGCAAATACTGAAAAAGAAAAGTCTGGATGACATCTTGTGGACATCGCATGAACATCAGAATGAATGAACACAAGTATATATCTGCATATATGCAGATTGTAACTGAAGATACAGTTTGTTACTCCCAGGAAAAAACGTATGATGAACACTATAAATTTATTTGCTTCATAAGGTTTCTGATTTATCGGTTTCAACTTACAGATGAAATAGCCTAAAAATTCTAGGGGGCAGAGTGTCAGTGTTGACTGTCATGGTCCACTTTTAGATACGTAATTAAGTAACAGTTTCTTCATAGTCAAATATCACAAGACAAATCTTTTTGTGACACTTATCTCTCCATGCTGTCAGATAGCAGAACAAAACGTACACAGTCCTACCGTCTTTAGGATCTTTTTTTCTCTTCTGTTTTTCATTCTTTTTCATTCTGTTCTGTTCAGCTGTGGTTACACAAGCAACAATTGTGCAAGTTGTTCAAACTGGGGTAATGAATTACGATGTTAACATTGAATTGATGGCGGAAGACTGTGATAAGAAAGAAATAGGAAGAGGGTAAATTTGAGGTAGAACCATTTTCAGAAATGATTCCGGCCTTATCCTGTGGAGCAATGAGTGCCCACAGGTGCTGCGAACGGGTGAACCTTCAGCACTCTCCAGTGGGCTGCAAACAGTGTGCCACGGCAGCTGCCCAGCTGCTGGGCTGCCGGTGGGTATGGGCAGGACACAGGCGCTTGGGTGGCTTTCCCTCGTGAGAAACCAGCTGACAGAACCAGACCTAGATCCGGGAACGCTTCCCCGATCAGGAAGGCAAAACGAGCGATGGCGCTCAGGAGGACGGTCATTCACATCAGCGAATTTGTCAACGAGGCTACGCGTGCCATCGCCAAAAACGTGCGATTTTCTGGCAGAAAAAGCAATCGCAAAGAGCAGAGCTGAAGGGAAGGCGCGCCCGCCGCCTGAGCGCACGGGAAGGGAGGCAGGGCGCGACAGGAAGGCGGCAGGAAGGCGGCAGCACGGCTCGCGCAGGCCCCAGGAGCTCGCTTCCGCGCGGCAGCCTCCGCTGGTAGCGCCGCAGTACCGGCAGCACGCCGCGCCGCGGGGAAAGCGGCACGGACGACGACGGACGGCGAGGGGCGGAGCTGTCGGCGGAGGCCTTGGACGAGCCCATCGCCGAGGGGAGGCCGAGGCCTGCCGGCGTGTTCCGACGCTCCGAGTCCGGCGCCGCCGCCCCTCCGTGTGGTGGTGCCTGCGGCGAGGCGGGCGCCGCGGCAGCGGCCGGAAGCGGCGGCGCGAGGCCGGGTGACGCGAGCTGGGGGCGGCCGGCAGCGCGGGGCGCTCCGTTGCCGCCATGAGACACCTG